CTTTAGTTTAAAGTTTAGGGATAACTGCGTCCTCAGTCATTTGGTCATGAATCTGATCACAAAGTTAATAATATAGCCTTTTTTTTGATGATTGCTGATTGTAATATTTGCTTTATGACATATTTATTTTATAGTTTTAAGGTTTTTACCTTAATATGATAAATATCATATTACCACTGTGTCTTGAATATCTAATGAATAATCTGACGCAAACTAGGGGTAAAAGCTCACTATTTTCGCAATATCTGTGTGACCAGAATAACTTAAAATAAGAAGCTTTGCAGGGGTTTATATCTAATAGTGTGAGTGAGAGGAAGCATCTGAAAGTCCCACTCTACTTCCTACACCTGTGGCTGATTGAGGGGATTGATAAGACTAAAGTATAATCTGTCATTATTTTAGAATAGATACTCAAGAAGAACACAAGCCAGTGATGCAGCTGATGTAATTATTGAAGTAAAATCATTCAGATGGAATGTTTGCAGAATTCTAAACATATTTAATGAAGTGATCCATGGATGTCAGTAAAAAAAGAACCCGCCCTTTTTAATTTTCTTAATTTTATTTTTGTACCAAAGCTAAAAGGATACAATGTTGTAAGTTACATTAAAAAATCCTTTCCAGTATGGCTCGCCAAAACTTATGAAGTATTGTCATGGAATACAATGCAGTATTTTTTTTTACAAATAGCAAGTAATTGATCATTAATATGCATTGTTCACCCTTCCTTACCATGTAAATAAATAAATTGGAATCTGCAGAGGAAAGTTAATTTTAAATACATATTCAGTTTTATTGAGTTATGTGGCTCTGAAAGATGCTGAAATATGCTTTGGGATTTTCCATTCATGTAAAAATTTACAAAATTAACACTTTGATATAATCCTCTCTATAGTTCTTTATAGAACTATAGAGAGGATTATATACACTTCTAAAAAAGAGAGATAGAAAGGGAGAGGAAGTGAAAGAAAAAAGAAAAAAGAGATAAAAGAGCTAGAAAAGAAAAAGAAAAAAGAGGGAAAAAAAAGAAAGAACAAGGAGAAGAAGAAGAGAAAGAAGAAGAAAAAAAAGAACCGTCTTAACCACGCTCCACTGGTCATAAACAGCTCAACTGTAGAGGTGGTCAACGCCACCAAATTCCTGGGGGTGCACATCACAGACACCCTCATCTGGCATGTAAACACCACCTCACTGGTCATAACGCTGCGTGTCCTAAGCCAGTAACATCATAAATGACCCCTCACACCCCCACCATGGACTGTGGGGGTGTGAGCAGACTCCATGCTGCCCTCTGGGAAGACACTTCGAAGCATTGGATGCAGGTCCATCAGATTCCAGAACAGTTTCTTCCCCACTGCCATTAGACTGCTGAATGTTTTGCAAAATGGGTTGTTTCATTGTATTTTGTTATTAAAAAGAAAAAAAACGGAAATGTCAGAACTGTAAATATACAGTCATATTTTTATATTACTGTTTTAATGTATTTTTTTTTACTGTTTTTATGGCTGCACTTTAAAAAAAATGAAATTCTTAACGAAATTTATTTTTTTTTTTACACTTGTATATACAAAATTACAAAATAAATCTGTCTATGCATGTGCTTTTTTTATTTTACATGCTTAGCTGTACTTTATTATTTTTATTTTTTTTCCCCAGGTTGTTCCATTTCTAGTGGATCGGGTCACTTACTTTTGTGAAACTCTGTTTCCCATAGGCCATTTGAAAAGACGGTATCATGATAGAATGACAAAGGGCTCCATCTGGTGGACAAGTCTGGTATTACGTCTAGAAATCTGTGCGGTTCCAGTGTGATTGGCTGGACCATAGATATCCATAATATTATTATGGATATCTATGGGCTGGACCTTCAAGAACCGGGTTCAGTCTAATGAGATCATCATGTTCAACCATACATAGTCAAATGACCTACTTAGTGGTTTTAAAACGACTAAATCTATTAAATAAAAAAAATAATAAAATATAATGTAGCAATATGGGTTATCAATACTTTTAAGGATTAAATATATTTGAGAATAAAGTTAGTAATAGATGTGTAACTGTTACAATCCCTCTCTGGATCACTAAAGTAGGTCTATAACTAAACATGTTATTACACGTGTATTATCATAGCCTACTGTAGTAGGACAAAAACAAGGTTTACTCACGGTAACAAGGTCTGAAATCGCTTTACAGCCTTTAAATGCAGTTTAACCATCTACCCCAAAAAGGCTGATCTTACCTGCTTGGGTTTTAGGGTTCTACTGGAACTGAAGGAGATCTTCTGTTTTCTGCTTCCCGCTGCAGCTCAAAATCCAGCGCCTGTGCGTGGGCTGATCAGCTGATCCACCAAATAAAACACGTCACAGAAAGCAAACTTCCGCGTGCGTGTAGAGCTGCCACACTTTCCTTTATCAGAAAATATCCCTGTGCAATGTGGATGATCACATATATTAAGAACATAATGTTCCAGAACAAGGAGCGGACTGGATAAGAGTTTAAAATCAGACGGGCACAAACTTTAAAGCATTAAACTACATATTTGCTTAATAAACCGAACACTTTTTACATGTGCTTTTATTTTGAAGGATGCCCGCGAACCGGAAGTCAGGTCTTCTGAAGCTAGAAAACATCTCTGTGCAATGTGGGTTATCACAGATATCACGAACATAATGTTCCAGAACAAGGAGCGGAATGGAAAAGAGTTAAAAATCAGACGGACCGCAACTTTAAAGTATTAAACTACATCTTTATGCTTTTATTTTGAAAGATGTCCTCTAACCGGAAGTCAGGTCTTGTGAAGCTACGCGGTTCGTTTTGGGACAGAACTGGTCAACTTTGACCGTAAAGAACCTTTAACCTATCAGGGACTTTGAACGGGTCCCACGTAACTTCGGGAAGAGGACAACAAACAGTTTAGCTGGTGAGGAACCGCAGAATAACTTCAGCTGGACCAAAGTACGGAGCTAAGCTCAGCTAGCCGGAGCTAACCGGCTAACAATGGCTTTAATGCGAAGCTGCTGACCAAACGGAACCGAACCAGAGCCGACCCAGGTTCAGGTTTGGACGATTTAAACTGGATCAGAGAGCTGATGGCCCGCTGCTGACGTCAGTAGATAAACTCACCTGGACAGGTAAAGCCTCTGTCTCACTGACAACAGGGATGCTAGCTAGATAATCAACAAAGTTTTTTCTTCTGGAAAAGAATTTATTTCTAGTGGAAAAGACGGATAAGATATTTGGACCGATATAGCAGGTTCCAGTGTTAAGTTCTTTGATTTATCTTAGTTAAAACGGTAAAGTTCTGACTCCAAAAGCTTCAATCGAACCTCAGAACATTTTTACATTAAACATACATTAAGTCCTATAGAACCTGCTAATATCACCAATTAACAACAATTTTTTTTGTTAAAAGTCGGTTTAATTGAAGGTTCACAAATCCGAGACCTGATTTTAATTAATCTACAAATAGTTTAGATTAATCTAGTCCAGGTTTGATGTGTCTAGGTGTTGTACTTTTAGAGCTATACCACATATAGTGTGATATGGAGACAAAAACGTGTTCAAATCGGTTTTATTGCAGTTTCACAAATCAGACCAAGTTTTTATAAATCCAAGACCTGGTTTTAATTATTCTACAAGTAGTTTAGAATAATCTAATCCAGGTTAAATGTGTCTAGGTGTTGTACTTTTAGAGCTATACCGCATATAGTGTGATATAGATACAAAAAAGTGTTAAAATCGGACTTTATTGAAGTTTAACAAATCAGAGACCTGGTTTTAATCATTCTACTAATAGTTTAGATTAATCTAGTCCAAGTTTGATGTGTCTAATTGTTTTAGTTTTAGAGCTAGACCACTTCTCCTGGGACATGGACACAAAAAAGTGTTTAAAACCGGCCTTTATTGCAGCTTCATGAATCAGAAAGGTTTTATAAATCCCAGACCTGGTTTTAATTAATCTACAAATAGTTTAAATTAATCTAGTCCAGGTTTGATGTGTCTAGGTGTTGTAGTTTTAGAGCTAGACCACTTCTAGTGGGACATGGACACAACAAAAAGTGTTAAAATCGGCCTTTATTGCAGTTTCACAAATCAGAGAATGGTTTTATAAATCCCAGACCTGGTTTTAATTATTCTAAAAAATGTTTAGAATAATCCAATCCAGGTTAGATGTGTCTAGGTGTTGCAGTTTTTTTAGAGTAGACAAAAAAATGCTGAAGGTAGGAAAAAAAATATTCATTTCTCAAATCAGAATCCAACTTCAGCTTAGTTAAAAAAAACACAGAAATTAAAACGCCTTCATCTCATTTTACTAAGTGAAACCTCACAGCTAACTTTATGTAAAATTAAACTTTAGATCCTGAACGAGCTGATGACGTCAGCCCTGTGATCAAATATTTATTTATATTTTTGTATTTTATTAGCAAACACAGATGAATGGATCCAAACCAGCCTGGTTCTGTGATAAACATGAGCCGAATGAGTCGCTGGTCTATAAATAATCGACACTCAGAAAAGTTTTCACACTCCGTTGCTGCATCCAGATCCATACGAATAAAACCTCAAAATATGATCAGATTAAATTTGGATAATTCTTAGATATTTTATTCACACCATTCTAATTGTCCGTTCTGAAAGTTTTCACCTGTTCATATTGAAACAAGAACATTTTTCATGCCTGTTAGTATTTTTTTTTTTTTTTTTTATTTCCATGGTATTGGATATTTGAAATAGGCAAAAATGTTTCCAGAAGCAGCACTGATTGGTCAACCAATCCACCGTTAAGGTTCTGGGTCTGAGCCGGGCCCGGTGGATAACTGGGTTCTGATCCGTTAACGTGGTTCTAAATGTTCTTCTGTGCTGTTTTCAACCCCCCGCAGTCTGAAGTTCTGAGAAAGATGAAGTAAGTTCTGATAGGTGTTAGATAGCCGGTAGTGTAGATGGAAGTTCATGGTGTTCTGTCTTTCTGGTTCCCAGTCCGGTAGGAAAGGAACCACTTAGAACTGATGAGATCCACGCTTGGCAGGAGGTTCTGGATCAGAACCAGAAGGCTCCCACGGCTCTCAATGGAAACATTACAGAAAAGGGTCAGAAAGCCTTTAAGTTTCGGGTCAGGACTGAAGTCACCATTTGGGACGGTTGATTCTGTTTGTTGACAGATGCTGCCAGCTTGATGGATCAAAGGTTCTGTTCCAGGACCGGCAGACATGCAGGGTGGTTCTGAGCTGTCTGGGAACAGCGCTGGTCACCACAGACTCAGAAAGAGTCCAGAACCTCTCTGAGCAGACGGTGCTTCTGGGTGGCGCTACTGTAGAACAGGTTCTGCCTCATTGACCCGATCCAATAGTTCTCATCTGCTGCTTCTACAGTCCCACCTCCTCCCTGGTTCTGGTTCTGAAGGCCCACAGCTTCATGTGTTGAGGTTCAGTAAAATTTCGACCAGAACCCGATAATCTTCTCTGGATTTGGATTTCTGGAACTTTCAGGAGGTCCCAGCCGGGTTCTGACAGAACCAACCGGGCCACCAGACACGTGGAGCAGTTTCAGGATCCAAACCCCGACAGACCCCTTCAGGTTCTGGTGAGCCGCATAGAACTGCATAGCAGGAAGTTAGCAATGTGGATCAGAACCAGCACAGTGGTCCACCAGCTCCAGATTCTGTGCAGGTTAATACCACACAGTCAGAACCATGCTGCTCGTACCGATCCAATCACCAGAGGTTCTGTTCTGGAGTAAGATCCACTCCCTGCATTATCACTGAGGTTCTGCTGATCTCAGTAAACATTTGGGCAGAACCTTCACTGGTTAACTCGCCGGGCTGTCAGAACTGCTGCTGACCACAACAGAAAGGACGGGTTCTGTTGCGTATTCTCTGGTTGGAGGGTTCTGATCCTTCTATCAGTTAAAATGGACTGATGTATCAGAACCTAACTGTGGACCCCTGTCTGATCCGGAACATCTCTGTCCTCCTTAGCCAGTTCTGGATCAGGTTTGAGATTCTGCGATTGGATCGGGTTCTGGATCCTGTGTCTGGATCAGGATCTGAATCCGGCGTCTGGATCGGGTTCTGAATCCTGTGTCTGGATCGGGATCTGAATCCGGCGTCTGGATCGGGTTCTGGATCCTGTGTCTGGATCGGGATCTGAATCCGGCGTCTGGATCGGGTTCTGAATCCTGTGTCTGGATCGGGATCTGAATCCGGCGTCTGGATCGGGTTCTGAATCCTGTGTCTGGATCGGGATCTGAATCCTGTGTCTGGATCGGGATCTGAATCCTGTGTCTGGATCGGGATCTGAATCCGGCGTCTGGATCGGGATCTGAATCCTGTGTCTGGATCGGGTTCTGAATCCCGCGTCTGGATCGGGTTCTGAATCCCGCGTCTGGATCGGGTTCTGAATCCCGCGTCTGGATCGGGTTCTGAATCCCGCGTCTGGATTGGGTTCTGGATCCCGAGTTCTGATCGGGTTCTGGATCCTGTCTCTCTCTGTCTTTCCTTCAGGATGCTCCAGGGCCTTCTGAGCAACCCGGACCGGGACCGGCCTCTGGTCCGGGTGCCCTTCACCATCTTTGCCGTGGCGACAGTTCTGCTCCCGCTGATGGGCCTCCTGGTCTGCCTGGTGACCTCCATGCTGTACCACTATGAGGACGCCACCTACACCCACTGCCAGGTGAGGAGGAGCGGGAAGCGGGTCGGGTCCGAGGAGGAGTCAGACCAAATTCAACCTTGGAATCTAAACAGACTGAAACTACTAGTTTCTCCTCATCCATTAATCTGCTTTAATCTGTGAACAAAATCAATAATAATCCTCCTTCTAGTCACTGAATCATTAGATATAGTTTCAACAACTTTGGCTTTTTGGTTTGTTTATAAAACTGTTTCAGATCAACTTAGAAATATTAAGAACATCAAAGCTTCTTTGATCTGAAACATCAAAGAATTTGGAATCAAATTTGAGTCCACAAGCAGAAATTTAATTTAATCTGGGAATAAAACATCCAGCGCTAAACAGCGCTCTTTAGCCCCGCCCCTTTCCTAGCTTGATCCACACATCAGCTGAGCTAGCTTTATTACCCAGAATTCATCAGTTTGATTTGATCAACATTAAATTCCCTTCAAACCCTCTTGTTTCAACAAACGGATTCTTATTGTTTCTAAAGTTATGTTCATCCGTTATTCTTCTCCACATTATTCTGTTTTATGAACAACCGCCTGATAATTTGTAAAAGTTATTTTTCACTTAAGATCTTTAAATCAATAGTTTATTTTAATGATTAATTAGATTTTAATGGTGATTCTCAGAATATTTAATGAACCTTAATAAACTTGACCTTCGATGATCAAAACCATAACATAAACTATGAAAAGCTATATATTAATCATTTTAGTTCAAATAAATATGAATAATTAAATGTTCTATTCAACCATTATCTATTAATGTGGATCTGGTATAGAAAAAACACACTTTGGACAGTAATCTTCAACAGAACCACTTTAAATGTATGAGATGGTCCAATTCTGTATTAACAAATATACCCTGTTATTAATCAAAGAAAAATTTTTTAATCAGATACATATAAGCGTCAAATAAATCTTTGTTTTCTCTGTCTTCTAAAAAAAATTCTGGTCTCGTTTACGTCACAGTTTTTTTTTTTCTAAATTAATAACTTTTCAAATTTGGAATTGGACCCAACCTCAATGGTCTAGAAATAAATTTTTCAGACTCTGTTAATTTGCTCGTTTTGCTTGAAGAAGTCAAACCTTCTTTTATCTGTTTTTTTGTTTTAAAAGTTACTTCTTTAAGCAAGACAAAAAGGAAGGAAATGACATGTCCAAATAATTTATTTTAAAATCTATTTTATGTCTTCTAGACTTTCGCTGCAGGAGCATTTATCCCCATATATATATATAGTCTTATCATCTTAGTTTATTTACTGTTTTTTACTGTACTTATTGTTTTAAAACTCTGATTTATAATCCTAGTCGACAAGCACCCTCATTCACATTTTCCCCTAAATATTCCCAATTGTGATATATTTATATTATTTATTGGCTGCATGTAAAAATATCAAAGATATGAAATAATACAATATAATCTACAATAACTTAAATTCTATCATTGTAGTTGGTCATTATATCAATTCAGTCTGTAAAATAAGCTCCCTGTAGTTTCTTTAAAGGTCCAGCAGGTGTCAGTATTCTGTGAGGCAGCATCAATAGTTTGCAAACACTTACATGCCTCATTAACCCATCACTAGGAAACGGCCTAGTTAAAGTTTGGACCCAAACCTGATTGGGAGGCTGGACCTTCAGCAGGCCGTTTATTCTGATGGTTCTGGATGAAGTCGGCTCTGTTTGCCGCCTTCATCCATGTTGGAGACTCGGTCAAAAGAAATGTTTTGTTTGAACCGCCCCTCTTCCCGTCTCTCTGTCCGTCCAGGTGTCCAACTACCTGCCTTCCATCAGCTCCGCCATCAGCCGGGCCCCGGAGCTCTACATCTGGCGCAGCTGCATCGGCCTCCACTCTGCGCCGCGCTATCTGGTGGCCGTGGCCTACTTTAACTTCTACCGCTGCCGCTTCGCCGCCAGGCTGCCGGAGCTGCTGCTGAGCGGCCTGGTTCTGATCTGCAGCGTGGCGGAGAACACGGGCCTGGTTCTGCTGACCTACGTGGCGTCCACCGAAGAGTACAGTGAGTCGGCCGGCGGAGCTCCTCCAAAGGCTCCTGGCGGCGTAGCTCAGAGTTAACCGCTTTGTCTGTTGTCTGCAGAGGTCCATAAGTACGGCTTCATCGTCTTCATAGCGTGCTCGCTGCTGCACATGCTCATCACCTGCTGGCTGTGGTACGTCATCAAGAGGCAGTACGTCAACCCAGAGGTGAGCTGAGCCCAGCGACACCAGATGGTTCTGTTAGAAAGTCCGCACTGCAGGTTTATCTGTGATGTCACCTAGAGCAGTTGGGCAGATAAAGTCCTACAGAGAAGCAGTGGTTCTGTGTGTGTGTGTGTGTATATATATATATATATATATATATATATATATATATATATATATATATATATAAATAACATTAAATTACAGTTACTCATTTCTGTATAAACCCCATAATAAATCTGAGTTGATCGCTCTGTGCTGCTGGGATTAAACCGCCTTCTGCTCTCCGTCTGTATTTCTGGTTCAGGAGAAGACGTCCTTCCTGTGGAAGACCCGCCTCTTCCTGTTCAACGTCAGCTGCTGCGCCATCGCTGCCTACTTCTTCAGACGCCACAATAAATACTGTGAGGAGGGAGGTGAGTCCAGCCGCCGCAACGCAGGTGTCCTGCCGCTCATCATGACTCCGTCTGACCCTCGTCTGTCCGTCTGTCTGTCCCCCCCCACCAGTCTACACCCTGTTCGCCTTCTTCGAGTACATGGTGGTCTTCTCCAACATGGCCTTCCACATGACGGCCTTCTGGGACTTCGGCAGCACTCAGGTGATGGTGGCCACGCTGCCGGAGGAGAAACGCTTCTGACCCGGACATGATAATGGATTCTGAGGGATCACAATGAGGTTCTGATGCAGAACCGGATTCACAGCTCCACCAGCGGTTAACTTAACAAGAACTAGAAATTAGGAGGGAAACGGTTCTGGTTCGCTGACGGGGTCCGGACAGACCAACAGTTTTAACAGATCAGGGACAGAACCATCGGACCAGAACAATCTAGCAAACCGTTGCCCAATGGATCCCACAGAACCGTGGATCTTTTCCCCTGCAGGATTGAAACCTTCAGGAGGTTCTGTTTGACATAATTTCCATAGCAGGAGTGGAAAGAATAAAGCTTCCTGTTCGGATCAGTCTGGTTCTGTTCACAGAAAAGAAAAGGTTCTGCCACATGACATGGAACTGGTTTCTCCTGGCTTCCAGCAGAACCTCGGTTCAGAACATCTTTTTATTTATTCTTAGAATTTAATAAATTTTTAAACTCAAAGGAATTTTTTTTCTGATTTTTATAAAAAATAAAAGCCTAACATAAAAACCATGATAGGGCTAATTTCACAGGGTTACCATGGTGATAAGATGCCATAGCGGTACTGCTGTCAGTCTGGGCCAAGATCAGGAAATCAGGATCTTTAGTCAGCAGAAGGACTAATGACTGCTCTAGATGACTGGACTTTAGAGGCCCAGTAGACCAGAACCAGGAGAAAATGTGGCACCGTTACCCGTCAGACCGGACCTGCAGCAGCCCAGAGCGGGCTTCATGTCCTGCTCTCGAGGTTTCACCTGGTGAATCTTCTGTTTTATAATCCTCTCACCACAACAGGTTTTCCTTCCACTCAATTTTCTACTAACATTGGATACAGTGAGCAGCCTTCAGTTGCCTAAAAATATTCAAATGCTCAAACATTCAAATATTTGATTTATTCAAAGAAAGAATAAATATTTCCTACAATAAATAAACTTTGCAATTTAACTAAGCTGGTTTTTTTTTTTTTTTTTGTGCAATAAGGTCAGGGCTCTGTACAGCAGGGGGCGCTGCTCCACAGAACCAGACCTGCTGATGGGTTAGGTTCTCTTTGAACCCTTCCAATAAAGCTGGCAGCCTTTATTAATGAAAATATTTCATGAATGACTGAACAGTCTGATTATAAAGATTAACCCATGTGATGTCATCAGACCCTGATCCAATCAATTTACAGCTTCTAAAAATCTAATATGGAAGAAGATGACTCCTTACATTGGTCAGCTAAGCGACCCTGGCTCAGCAGCGCCATCTGCAGGGCGGATCCAGGACCTGAATACAGACAAACCTCAGGCCACCACAGCCTCCCAGCTCCTGGAGGTTCGCTGACCATCCTGGAGGGCACCTCCTGTCATGTCTGCGAAAGCGTTCCTCAGAGGATCCAGGTTCTTCTATGAAGGAGAAATTTTATGGTTTGGAGATGTCTGTCTGCAGGTTATTCATTAAACAGACTTCCCTCCCCAACATCATTACTTTAAACAACAGAAGCAGGCAGAACTCAGACCAGTAAAACTACAGCAGCTGTTTAGGGAACCAGCAGAGTGGAACTTCTCCAGAACTTTACCGTAAAAAAGCTTTTTGTGGTAAAAAAAAAAAAAAAGGGTCTAATTTTGGATAATTTTAGATCATCAATGTTCTGAATCATGACCTCAGCATCCTCATTTTATCCCTAAAAATATTTTCTGATTTCGATCTGAAAATGTGCACATTGTTAAAAAGGAACCAGAACCTGCTCTGATCAGAAGATCTGGTTTGTTAATCGTCTGAGTAAATGTCACCAGATTAACAGTCTGAACAGATGCAGGATCTGTGGTTCACACCATGTGAGCCACTTACAGGAACCAGGTTCTGCCATCATTTCCCCTACATTCATCTAACAGATCTACTTGTTTGATGCTGAGTGAGCCAAGATCATAACTCTTCCACCACTGTGCTGCTATGAGCTGTTGGTACTACTGTCTGGTTTTGTCTCCTGACATGTTTCTATGTTTTACACCCAAACATCTCAGCCTTGGTCTCTTCCTGGGCGTCTTCGCCCCTGATCCCTATTTATTCACGGGATTGCTGATTGCCCGAAAAAGGTTAAGTTGAAAAAAGCCGACAGCCATGCTGGTACTCCCCACTCTCGCACAGATGTGCTGTTAAAACGCCAACATGTGTTGCATTTAGCTGCAAAAACATAACATTAGTCTGGCTATCTTGGACTGACTCGAAGAT